CCCCAGGCCCGCGGGGCCTCGCATGGGACCCCCCGTGGGGGCCCTTACAGGGGCCCTCGAGGGGGCCCCCAGAGGCTCGGGCTCAAGGCGCAGCAAAGGGCGCTGCTGCCGCAGGATGGGTTGCATCTCTGGCGCTAGTCATAGAGGAGAGAATAAAAGAAAGGAAGAAATACTTGTGGCAGCAACTGGGGCCTGCGTTTCGTTCTAGCGGCGAGGGTTTAGGTGTCTGTACACCCGGAAGGAGTAGCAGGACCGATGAGGCCTCGGAAGCAACTAACTTTCCTGAGAACGCCGTCGTATTCAGGGTGAAAATAAAGAAAACAAATCCTTTTTGAGACTCCTTTTGAGTGCTTTCCAGCTTGCTGCTGCTGCTGCGCTGCCTGCAGCAGCAGCAGAAGGCACGGCGGCGCCGACAGAACCACACCGAGGTTACCAGCGAGCCGAGCGAGTCCTTCGACCCGCAAAACAATTAAAATTCAAGAACCAATAAACAATTTAATTCATATTTCAAAAAATTTGAAACAATTAAACTGAAAAACTCGAGATCGCGCCCCCGGGACCCGAAGTGACCCGTCGCCGCCGACTCGCAGCTGTCCACTGCGAGCTGTAGATACACTCTAGATGCGGCGCTCTAAACCCTAAACCCTAAACCCTAAACCCTAAACCCTAACCCCTATGCTCTAAACTCTCAGCTTTAAACGCTAACCTGGCAAGTCCTAAGCCAGTTCCAGCAACGCTCACAGAGGCGGGTCACCAAGAGCCCACAGCCCCGCACCCGCACCCCAAACCCTAAACCCTAAACCCTAAACCCTGCAAGTAAACCCTTGAAAGAAAACTATATTCCAAAGAAGAATGCTTTAAGGGCTCCCCACAGAAAATGAGGGTCTGTGGGGTTCCCCTCCGCAGCCCTTAGAGCAGCGCCCAGCAAATGAGTGGTGATGCTGCTGCTGTTGCTGCTGCTGCTGCTCCTCCTCCTGCTGCTGCTGCTGCTGCTGCTGCTGCCATTGCTGCTGCATGTATTGCTGCTGTTGCTGTTGCTATTGCTGCTGCTGCTGCTGCTGCTGCTGCCATCGCTTCTGCTGCTGCTGCTGCTGCTGCGGCGTCGTCCACTTTCGCCGTGGCTACTATCTCTATGGCTGCTCGTGGTGCTGCTGTCGATGGAGCTTCTGCTGCTACTGCTGCTGCTGCTGCTGTTGCTGCTGCTGCTGCTGCTGTATGATTTTGCTGCGTGTTCTCTTATATAGCTTCTTGGGTTTCACAGAAGCGACATCAGTCCTCATCAGCCTCAGCTGCCCCTGCGCAGAACCCTAAACCCTTGGCCCTAAACCCTAAACCCTAAACCCTAAACCCTCGAATTCAAATCCCTTCTGTGTCCTAGATCCCTTTTAGCAGCAAAGGGTTTGGGCCCGTGAGTCTCACGAGACACAGTGTAGGGTTTCGGTGTGCAGGCAGCTCGAAAGCCGGGCTAGGGTTCAGGGTTTAGGGTTTAGGGTTTAGGGTCCGGGGGATAGGGTTTGGCGGACGTTTCTTCTCTTTCTTCTTGAGCTTGTCTTCTTTTATATGTCTTGAAATCTTTTGCGCGATTTCTCGTGCTGTCATATTTTGGCCAAAGAAATCCTTGAAAGACCCGTCAAGGCCTGCAACGCAAACTCTAAACCCTAAACCCTAAACCCTAAACCCTAAACCATAAACCCTAGATTTCCGGTCGCAGCTGTTCCAGCAGAACGCAATTACAGCACTTCTGTTGCACAGCAGCTAGCTGGGTAGCCGAGCAGAGCCCGAAGCCCAAACTCTAAACCCTGAACCCTCAGCCCTAAACCCCAAACCCTAAACCCTCGGCGCACCCATGAAGTACTGTATGATAGAATGGTCCACGAGATACTCCTCATCTCCTGTCCTCGCTGTCTCGTTGAAATAAACCCTAAACTTGCGCGTCACGTCTTTTATTTGACCCTGAGAGCCACAAACCCTAAACCCTAAACCCTAAACCCTAAAGCTCCAAACCCTAGTCTTGGCAAAGCTGCGGCTTGGGCGCCAGAACCAACTGGAGGCAGCGTCAGCTGCAGATACATCCAAGAATTGCTGCTGCTGCTGCAGCTGCAGTAGCTGCAGCAGCGGCAGCCGCAGTAGCAGCTGCAGTAGCTGCAGCAGCAGCAGCTGCAGCAGCAGCCGCAGCAAATGGGCAGCACGCCAAGTGGCGCAGCAGCCGAACCCCGCAGCAACTACACAAATAGCAAACGCCAACAGCAGCAGCAGTAGCAGAAGAAACAGGAATAGCAGCAAAACACAACAACAGCAGCACCGGCAGCACCGGCAGCAGCAACAGCAACAACAGCAGGTGCAGCAGCAGCTGACACAGGTGACAGTGAACTCTACATTAGGAGCAGGAGCAGCAACAGGAGCAGCATCAACAGCGGCAAAAGAAGCAGCAGCAGCAGCAACAGCAACAGCTGGAGCAACAGCAGCAGCAGCAACAGCAGCAGCAGCAGCAGCAGCTGACCGGGGTGCCCGTCAGCCCCACAAGCCTGGGGTGGAACTCTTTGCAGTAAGCAGCAACTTGGGCCACAGTGTCTCTTGCAGGGTCCACTGCAGCAGGAAAAAGAAATAAACCCTAAACCCTAAACCCTAAACCCTAGTAAACACTGGACACTAAATAACGGAGTAAAAAGACGCAAACGAGGAATTTAAAGGAACTGTGGATATTTCACTGGAGAGAAAAAAAGAACGAAAAAATTAAATTTATTTATTATTATTAAACAAACAAACAAACAAACAAACAAATAAATAAATAAATAATTTATTTATTTATTTATTATTCTATTTATTGATCCCTTGGACGCACCTGTTATGAAGATGGGCTGCACAACTTCTCCGTGCTCTTTGTCTGTGCACACAAACCCTAAACCCTAAACCCTAAACCCTAAAGCCTAAACCCTAGACCCTTCCAAGCAGCCAGAATTTAAGAAAGGGTGGTCTTAGTGTAGAAGCTCGAGGCTTGTGAGGGTTTAGGGTTTTTGATGGTTTGAAGTTTGCGAGGGTTTACGAATTATGGGGGTTTAGGGTTTGTGACACTGCACGTTTTATGAGGGTTTAGGGTTGGCGAGGGTTTAGGGTTTATGACAGTTTGGGGTTTGGGAGGGTTTAGGGTTTATGAGTGTCCAGGGCTGGCGAAGCCCCGTTTTCGGGTTTCCTCGCGCGCCCGCCCGCGCCTGCAGCTCGGCTTCAGGGCTTAGGGTTTAGGGTTTAGGGTTTAGGGTTTGTACCGATGAGTTCGACGACTTGGGCAAGTTTTTCAAGTTCTTTGGGACAAATGTCCGGACAAAAACTAAACCCAAAATATATGAGGGGGTAAAACCCTAAAAAGTCTCTGCTGCTGCAGAGGGCCCCCGAGGAGTCCACGAGGGTCCAGGGGCCCCCCAGCAGTGGCCGCCCCACAGCCAGCGATTCCGTAATTGCTGCAGCAGCAGCAGCAGCAGCAGCAGCAGCGGACACTCCAAGGTCTCTTTTGCTGCTGCTGGAGCAGCAGCAAACACCCCACAGCCTCTTTTGCTGCTGCTGCTGCAGCAGCAAATACCCCGCAACCTCTTTTGCTGCAGCAGCAGCAGGCAGCCCACAGCCTCTTTTGCTGCTGCAGCAGCAGGAAACAGACACCCCACGGGATCCCTTTTGCTGCTGCAGCAGCAAGCGGAGACAGGACAAAGACTGTCTCTTTCTCCTGCTGCTGCAGCAGGGGACTGAAATGGTGTGCAGCAGCAGCGGAAAGGAGTGGAAGCAAGGAGCGGCAGCAGCAGCAGCAGCAGCAGCCGCGAAGCAAGAGATTCAAAAAGAAGCAAGAGGCAGCAAAAAGAAAAAAAAGACAGGAGGAAGGAAGCAGCAAATAAAAGATAAAAGAAAAAAGAAAGAAAATAATAAAGAAAAGACAAAAAGGGCAGATAGGGAGTTGCTGCAGCAGCAAAAGCTGCTGCTGCTCCCACCTGCCTTTTGCCTCTTCTTTCGCTCCATCTGATAAAACAAAAGCGCCGTTATCGCGCTGCAGCACACACGGCAGCAGCAGCAGCAGCAGCAGCAGAAGCAGCAGCAGCAGCAGCAGGAGATGAGCAGCAGCAGCAAAAGCTCCTGCAGGGACAGGGTCACAGGCGCAGCAGCAGGAAGCAGCAGCTCCAGACGCAGCAGCAGCGGCTGCAGCGCGGGCAGCAGCGAACCAACAGCAGCATCCACAACCACAGCAGCAGCAGCAGCAGCAGCAGCAGCATCCGCAACCGCAGCAGCAGCAGCGGCAGCAGCTCTCACGCGCATGCTGCGCTGCAGAGAAGAGACACTCTCCATGTGACGAGGCGAGGAGACGAAGGAGGCAGCGAAGCTCTGGGGGCTGCTTCCGCTGCTGCTGCTGCTGCTGCTGCTGCTGCTGCTTCCAGCTCGTGGCGCTGGGCTGCGCGTGCTGCTGCAGCCTCGACACTGGGGTAGAGACACGTGCTGCTGCAGCTGCTGCCGCAGCAGCAGCAGGGCTGCTGCGCTTCTGCTGTTGCTCATTCTGCTGCCGGAGCTGCTGCTGCTGCTGCTGCTGCGGCCCGGCCTTTGCCACTGCTGCGCAGCCGCAGTCAAGAAGTGTGCAGCAGAAAATTGAAACTGCAAGTGCAGCAACCGGACTGCCTGGAGCCTCAGTTGCTGCTGTTGCTGCTGCCGCTGCTGCTGTTGCAGCTGCTGCTCCTTCTGCTGCTGCTGCTGCTGCTGCTGCTTGTCTGGCCCTAACCAGCCAGAAATAGTAAACAAGGCAGCAAAACTTTGTTAATAAATAACAGAATTTACTAAAGGAAGCCGCGGCTCAGCATTCCACGGGGCTGTGGATACCCTGAGGGGGCCCCTGGGGCCCCCAGGGGCCTCCACGGGGCCCCCAGGGGCCCCCGGGGGAGGCCCCAGGGGGGCCCCCTGGGTGGGCCCCTTTGACGAAGAAGATATGCGCTGGGATCGATTTTTGAGTGGGATCCGATCCCCGCATGCTCTGGGATCGGATCCCAGCTTCGTTTCCTGTTTGTGGGCTCAAGTGTCTGCAAGGTCTTCTGTTTCTCTTTTATATTTCCTGTTTCTTCTCCATTTAATTTGAATTATTTCTCTTTTCTTTTGCTCGTTTGGACTCTAAGGCCGTCTCCCTGATGTGCAGGTACGCACAGAGGGGCCCCCGGGGGCCCCCGGGTTCCCTTGGGGGCCCCTGGGGGCCCCTGGGGCCCCCAGGGACGCGCAGGGCCCCCTGGCGCATCTTAGGGGGCCCCCAGGGGCGTCCAGCGCATTGCTGACCCTGTGTAGCCACTAGGATTTCTGCGGGTTTTTACAGGGCCCGTGAGATCCCTGTAGACACAAATGGCTAGCTGGCTAGCTAAAGCTAGCCGTAGTGTAGTGTGGCTAGCTACGGCTAGCTGTGGCTAGCTATTAGTGACTGTGGATAGCTGCGGCTAGCTGTGGCTAGCTATTAGTGACTGTGGATAGCTGCGGCTAGCTGCGACTGGCTGTGGCTAGCTACGGCTAGCTACGGCTAGCTGGGGCTAACTGCGGCTAGCTGTGGCTACGCGTGGCTAGCTGAAGCTAGCTAAGTCTGGCTATATCTGGCTGTGACTGGTCGTGGCTAGCTAGCCGCGGCCACTCACTGTTAGCTACAGCTGAGGCCAGTGGCTGTTGCCAGCTGGGGCTAGCTGGGGCCAGTGGCTGTGGCTAGCTATAGCTAGCTGTCACTAGCTGCGGCTAGCTAGCTGCGGCTAGCTGGGGTTAGTCGCTGTGGCTAGATAGGGCTAGCCGTGAGTGGCTGTGGCTAGCTAGCTGCGGCTAGCTGAGACTAGTAGCTCTGGCTAGCTGTGGCTAGCTAGCCATTTACATCTGCTGTTGGAGTGTTTAAGGCTGAGCCCATGTGTCTGTACACCGCAGCGCTGCTGCTGCTTTTCTGGGCTGAGGCCGTACAGCCTTTTCGCTCAGCTGAGCCTAGGGTTTAGGTTGTAGGGTTTAGGGTTTAGGGTTTTGCGCAGCTGCAGCTCGGCAGAAGCCGCTCTTGCCCGTTCGCGTCTCTTTGTATGGTTGAGTGTTTGGAGCTTATGACACAGGGTTTAGGGTTTACGAGTTAGGACTCATTTTTAAGGGTTTAGGGTTTAGGGTTGAGGGCTAATGGCCCTGTGGACCCAGCAGGCCCTTAGGGTTTAGGGTTTAATAATTATTCTGAATTTTCTCTGTCTCCTTTCAATTCTTTTGCCCCTCCTTTTACAATTGTTTCCCCTCTCTCTTCATAAGCCCCTTTTTGGGCACTACCCTCACAGGGGCCCCAGGGGGCCCCCTGGGGGCCCTTGGGGGCCGCCCAGGCTGCCGGGGGCCCCTCAGATTCCCCCCAGGGGCCCGTGTAGCCCGGCAGCGGCCGGAAGCCCCTCAGCATTTTACCATCTTGGGGGCCCCTGAGGGCTGCGGGGATCCTAGCAAGAAGGTTTCCCAAGCAGTCCTCTGCTCGGAACATCTGCGGGGTTGTGTACTGACAAAGGCAGAGGGAGCCCCTGAAACCCTCGATGACTCTATGGGGATCTTTATAGAACCTGTGGGGGCCTCCAAGATCAGTAGGCCTCTTTTGGGGCCCTTGGGGGCCCCTCAAAGCCCCATGAGGGCCCTTCAAAGCCCCTGAGGGCCCCTGGAGGCCCCTCAAAGCTGCTGGGGGGCCCCTGGGGTTCACTGGGAGCTCTTGGGACTCTTCGGAGCGACCTGAGGGCCCGTGGGGCCTCGTGGGGGCTCCCTAAGGTCCCTTGCGTCTCCTCAGAGCCAATGGGGGCCCCTAAGAGTCCCTGAAGGCCCTTGGGGGCCCCTGGGGACGCCTGGGGGCCCCTGTGGGCCTCGTAGAGTTCTGGGCCCATTATTGCGGGGAGGCCCTCCTGGTGGCACTTGTCAAATATTGGCTGGAGTTGACTGCATGCAGTGGAAAGCCCCAAAGAAATGGGTGAAAAGAAAAGGCCCTGGAGACTGAGACAGCTGCTTAGGCCCAGAGCTGAGCCCCCAGGCTTGCAAATAAGGGCAGCGGGGGCCCCCATGGACCCCACCAAGGGGACCCAAGGGGGCCCCCGTGGGCCCCCTTTATAAGGCCACCAAGAGCAGCGGGGGGCCCCCCTTGGGCCCCCTTTGTGGGACCCCCAAGAGCAACTGGGGGGCCCCTGGGGCCCCCCAAGGGGCTTTTGTCGGGGCCAGCTGTGGGGCCACGCAGCAGCTGCTATTTTAATGTTAAGGGGAGACTTGCTGGGCTAAGAGATAAGCAGAGACTGAAGGAGAGAGCGGCAGGCCAAGGAAGACAAAAAGGAGCAAAACGAGGCAAAGAAACACAAAAGATGACAAAAAGGAAACAAAAGAGGTACAAAAAAGACCAAACAGAGACCGAGGAGAAGTTAAGATGAAAAAATGAGAAAAAAAGTGCCAAAAGAGAATCCAAAAGGACAAAGAGAAGCCTAAAAGGCGAATGAAACGGGATGGTCAAAGACCATGAAGAAGAAACAGAAATGGGGACAAAAAAGGGACAAAATTGACAGGAAAAAGGCGAAAAAGAAACGAAATAAATAAAAAATAGGACAGATAATAAAAAGGATAAAAAAATTAGAGAAAAGTGATATAAAAAGGATCAAAACGACAAAAAGAGATAACAGAAACACGGGGAGCGGATGGTGCTGCGTCCGGTGTCGGCTGCAGCAGCGAAGCCCTGATCCGCGTCTCCTTTTGCCGAGCAAATGTGCACAAGAGAAGCAGATATTTTAATAAATTAAATAAAACAAAAAGGATTTGAATAAATTAAAAAAGAAACTCAAAAGGTTGCAAAACCGTGCAGGACATGGTGTCGATACACCCCAGACCGCTGGAACCGCAGGACCGCCCGGGGCCCCTGAGCGGCTGGGGGCCCTTTAGGGGTTACGTCTTCGAGTAACAAATTATAATTTAAGTAATTATTAATTATTTTTTTTAATCTTTTTAAGGCCAGCTGAGCCCCAAGAGTGTCCAGACACTGCAGCAAATGGAACCAGTAGTACCGCCGCCTACACGCAAGCTCTAGCTTGAAAAAATGAGTAATGTCTTCCCGAACCCTAAACCCTAAACACTAAACCCTAAACCCTCAGCTCAAAACCCTAAACCCTAGCTGGTTGGGCTGGTGGGTCCGGCGGCGTTGTTTTCTCCGGCCATTTCGCCGCCGGTGCTTCAGTGTTTGGGCTTTCTAAGAGTGCAGGGAGTTTAGGGTTTAGGGTTTAGGCTTTGGGGTTTAGATTTGCGGATTCCTGTGAACAAAGCCACTCAGCGTGAGGTCTTTTGCTGCAGTTTCGCGACCAGCAGCAGCAGCAGCAGCTGCTGCTGCTGCTGCACTTCTGCTGCTCGCAGTGTCTGTACACTGCGAAGACTCTGGTAAGCAACAGCTCTGCGTAGAGGTGTCTGTACACATGAGCTGGATTTGTCCAACTCACATGCGACTGGGCTCCTTTGGTCCCTTTTTGTTTCTCTTTTATCTCTCTTTTTGTCCATTTGTTTCTCTTTTTGTCTCCTTTTGTCTCCTTTTTAATTTCTTTTTTGTCTCTATTTTTCAGATCTTTTCTCCCCGCGGCCGCAGCCCCAGCGGTCTTCTCTGTCCCCTCTTCTTGCTGCCGCAGTGTCTCCCTAATTGCTGCCTCCTCATGCTTCTCCTAGGGCTTTTTTCGCATCTCTCCGGCTTCTTTTGCCTCTTTTTCATTTCTAGTTGTTGCAATATTTTATATTTATTGGTTATTTTTATTTCCATCTGCTTCTTTGTCTCTCTATTACTTGTAACATTTTATATTTATTGGTTGTTTCTATTTGCTTCTTTCTCCTTATCTTTCGCTGCAGATTCAACAACAAGCCTGGTCAGATGCCAAAGCCACTTTTGCTGCCACTGCTGCATTTGGGGTGTATAGGCAGCTCTTCGGGTGTATGGGCAGCTCTATTCAAACGCTCGGGTGTCTAGACAGCGTTTTGCATGCAGTTAATGTGCCAGGGCTGGTCTCCTTAGCAGTTGGACTGTAAAAGCTCGTTTGTGCACTTCTAGGGTTTAGGGTTTGAGGTTTAGGGTTTGCGGCTGTGCCTCAACACAGTTTCTGCGTGTTGTTGGGGAGGTTTAGGGTTTGTGGAGTAAGGCTAGGGTTTAGGCTTTGGAGTGACGGTTTTGCGGGTTTGTCGCTGCGTGTTGGTGGGGAGGTTTAGGGTTTGTGGAGTGGGCTAGGGTTTAGGGTTTGGCGCTGGGGTTTTGCTGCAGACTCTGGGCCGGCTGAGCCTGCAGGAACTGCTGGACCTCGAGTGCCTCGCCCTCAGCGAAGCCCAATGTCAGCAGGGGCAGCTGGAGCACTGCAGCACTCCAGCATCCCGGGCCCGCCTGTGGGGCCCCTCGGGGGCCCCCAGTTGTTTTGTGGCCCCCGCGTTGGACTTGGCCCGCAGCGGCCTCCACTGCCTGGGCAATTGCGGCGAGGCTGTCTTCTGCAGGGGACCCCCCTCCCCGGGGGGGGCCCCCCTCTTGCCCCTCCCCTCTGAGCTCCAAGAACTTCTACATACCCACACCCAGCGCTGCTGCCAGCAGCACGCTTACAGGGTAAACACTTAGAGTTTAGGGTTTGCGTCCTCGCGAGACGGAGGGTTGGCCCGCCGCATGAGCGTCTAGGGTTTGAGCCCTCACGCGAGCTGGTGGAGTTTGCGCGTTCAAGCGGGGACTTCGGGTTAGGCCGCAGGAAGAGGGTTTAGGGTTTGGGTCTGGGGCGAGGGCTTAGGGTCTGAGCAGAGCGGAAGGAGTTTAGGGTTTTGGGCCCTAGGGAGAGGGTTTAGGGTTTGATCCCTCAGGCGACCGGCTAGGGTTTGAGCCGCCGGGAGAGGGTTTAGGACCTGCGCGGAGGGGAGAGAGCTTGGGGTTTAGGCTGCGGAGATAGCGGGTAGGGTTTGGGCCATGGGTAGAGAGGTTAGGGTTTAGGCACTGGAGCGAGGTTCTAGAGCTTACGCCGCTGGAAGAGGGTTTAGGGTTTACGCTGCTGGAAGAGGGTTTGAGGCTTACGCTGCTAGTAGAGGGTTTAGGGTTTACGCCGCTGGGAGACGGTTTAGGGTTTAGCTGAAAGGCGGGGTTCACAGAGCAGGGTGCTGGGCCCAGGGCTCGGTTTAGGGCCGAGGGTTTGGGAATTAGGGGCTAGGGGGGCTCCAACGGCCACGCTGCAAGGGTTTAGGGGTCAATATTTGGGGTTTAGGGTTTGTTTAGTATTTAGGGTTTAGGGTTTAGGGCCGGTCTCTGAGCTGAAAGCGTGCGCCTCTTCTCCTTTCTCTTTGTCTCTTCTTTCCCCTTTTCTTTTGTCTTTTTTTTGCTCTTTCTTTTGTCTCCGTCTTTTTCTTCTTTCGTTTTCTTTTTTTGTCTGCACTTCAATCTCTTTTAGCCTCTTTTTGTTTTTTTCCTTCTTTTGTCGTTTTCTTTCGCCTTTGTTTCCCTTATTTTCTGTCTCCTTCCTTTTGTGTCTTTATTGTCTCTTCTTTCCCTTTCTTTTTTCCTTTCTTTTTGCTTTCTTATCGTTCTTTCCTTGATTCATCTTTCTCTTTTGCTGTCCCTTTTGCTGTCTCTCTGTGCTGCTGCCTGGCCCCGCTGCTGCTGCTGCTGCTGCTTGCCTCTTTCGGTCTCCTTTTGCTTCCCTTCTTCGTTGTGTCCCCCTTGTCTCCCCTGAATC